CAAAAGTAAAGCATCGTAAATACATTTCAATGCATTTATTCAAAGTTTCAGATTGTCCACCCGTTTGAGGATGATAAGCAGTACTTAACTTCAAAGTAGTGCCACTCAACTTAAACATGTATTGCCAAAATTGACTAGTGAACACCTTATCACGATCAGAGATTATTGATTTGGGAAAACCATGCAACTTAACCACAGTTTTAATGAACAATTCTGCACAGAGGTGTAGGATAGATGTCAACTGTGTATCCTGTGACAGAGCTTCTTTTAATTCTGGAAGGAGTTGTAATTTGGGTTGGGATAAGGCCATCAAGAAGGATCGAGACAGAGAATCAGCATCAATATTTTCTTTTTCGGGCTTGTACTCAATGGAAAAATCATAACCAAGCAACTTGTGCAGCCATTTCTGCTGCTCCGGTGTATTAATAGCTTGATATGTAAGTGATCTAAGGCTCTTTTGATCGGTTCTAATAATGAATCTGTGACCCAGCAAGTAATGTCTAAACTTTGCTATGGCTTCTGTAATAGCATAAAACTCCCTTGCATAAGTTGATTGTTTCTGCATACTAACATTCAGTTTCTTTGAAAAGTAAGCAATTGGGTGATTCCCTTGGCTTAGCACCGCTCCGATACCCGTACCTGAAGCATCCGTCTCTAAAATAAAAGGTTTAGAGAAATCTAGTAAGGCCAAAACTGGAACCTGAGTGATTACCTGTATAAGTTTGGCAAAAGCTTCCTCCGCATTCTCTCCCCACAGAAAGTTGTCTTGTTTTAACATGTCAGTTAATGGTGTAGCAATCTTAGCATAAGATTGAATAAATTTTCTGTAGTATCCCGTGAGCCCTATAAACCCCCGTAACTGTTTGATGGTAACCGGTTTTGGCCAATCTAGCACCGCCTGAACCTTTTTTCTGTCCATTGATACCCCTTGTGCAGAAACCGTATGTCCTAAATAGTCCACTTGTTGTAATCCGAATGAGCATTTAGATAGCTTGGCATACAACTGATTTTCGTGAAGTAAGTTGAAGACCAATTCCACATGGGACAGATGCTCCTTCCAAGTAGGGCTATAAATTAATATATCATCGAAAAACACAAGAACAAATTTTCTAAGGAATCCTTTGAAAATATCGTTCATTAGGATTTGAAAGGTTGCTGGAGCATTGGTGAGCCCAAATGGCATTACTACCCATTCATAGTGTCCGTGGTGTGTTCTAAATGCCGTTTTATGTCTATCCTCTTCCGTGACAAGTATTTGGTGATATCCCGATCTAAGGTCCAGTTTGGTGAAATACTTGGAGCCATACAGTTCATCCAATAATTCATCAACTGTCGGAATAGGAAAACAATCTTTAATGGTGAGGGCATTCAAAGCCCTATAATCTATGCAAAACCTCCACGAACCATCTGTCTTTCTAACCAAAATAACGGGCGACGAAAAGGGGCTGGTGCTAGGAGTAATGATCTCTGCCTCCAGCATCTCCTGTACCATTTTCTCAATCTCTTGTTTCTGGCTGTGGGGATATCTATAAGGTCTGACTTTCACTGGTTTGGCATCTTTTATTAGTGGAATGGAATGATTATGAGTTCGTGAAGGGGGCAAGGAAGTAGGTATATCAAAAACATTCCTGTATTTCAGAACTAGGCCACGCAACTCTGTTGGCATATCTTGTGGTAAATTCAACTCCAATTCCTCTGGTGCCTCTGCCTCTTTATATTGTAATATAAAAACTTCAGGAAAGCTATGTGTGTGATGCACTCTTCGGAGATGATTAAATTGGGCAAGTCGTGGCAGTGTCGGCTGATCCCCAAAGTTATAAATTGATTTCCCATATAAAACTTCAAAGTGATCTTACTGTAATCAGAAATATGAGGGCCCAAGGTAGCCAACCATGTGGCTCCAAGAACTAGATCTGCACCTGAAATTGGTAAGAGATACACTGGAATCCGAAGAGAATGACCTTGCACTTTAACTTCCAAATGCTTCACTAATCCTTCAGCTACAAAGGAATGGCCATTTCCAACCAACACCTGAAATTTTGAGGCAGGTTCCACAGGTAGTTTCAAGCAGTTAGCAATCCTTGGATGTAAAAAATTTTCAGAACTTACGCTATCAAGTAATATCTGGATCACCATTCCGTTTATTGTACCCTTAAACCTCATAGTCCCAACGCCCGAAGAGCCTTTCAGAGCATTGTAAGACAGATGATGCTCTAGGCTTAAATGTTCCAAATCAACCTGATGTGAGTTTTCTCGCACTTAAAATAGATCGTAATATAGTGGCGTAAGTACGAGTATCGTCTCCACAGGGACGGACAAAAGAGAATCAAGAATTAATTAAATTCAGCGATTAAAAAGAAAATAAAATAAAAGCGTCGTGTGAGATTGGTTGGTTTGGAAAATAAAACTAATGCGAACAATTAACCTAGGGGGTTCTTTCTAATTAATGACGAAGGGAACAGGGATCCATTCCGGGGTAACCAGATTTCTGGCAGATCAGGCCTAACTACATGAAATTAATTTAATTGAGCCTAGCTAATCATTACTAAGTTCTTACCGCTCTCGCGGCGTAGAGTACAATAATTTAGGGGACCAGGCTGATCTCTCATGCGACAGGATCCTAAATTATTGCCAAGACGAGCGAGCTTACGGCCCCTTAATCGCTACTAATCTCTTAGCGAATGATTAAGTGTGTGTGAATGTGTCCTAGAACAAATTAGATCTCTCTTAATTTATTCTACATGCAATTGTAATTCTAGTCGCGATTCTAGGTTACAAAAGATATCAATTAAATTATTCAAACACAAATTAAACGGCATTCATGCAATTAAACCGAAAAGAATCTAGCCATACATCATGATTAACCCCTTCATCAATCCCAAATCCCTAATTAAAACTACTCACAATTCATAATTGAAGAATTAATTGTCATTAATTAAAAAGGTGGAACTTACAAAGAATCCCAAAAGATTGATGAACAAGGATGAAAGGCCCTCTAAAATTCGTGCTAGGCACTCTCTCTAAGCTCCCCCTTGAAATCGGGGGTTTACAGGCTGTTTAAATAGAAAAATCGGGTGAAATTTGAGCTGAATTAGGATTTTCGGAGCCAGACACGATGTCAGGCACGATCGTGCCTGGCTGGCCGTAGCTTCGCGGTGCTTTTCTCTTCAGGCACGATCGTGTCTGACTTTGAGGGCACGATCGTGCCTACTTAACTTCCGAATTTGACAAAACTTCCTTCATGAAAGTTGTAGATAATGAAGTTCTCTATCCACCCCAATTCGCCGAATGTGATTTGAATCATCCAATCAAGAGATATGATCAAAACGGTGGAAGGTGTCTTTCTGAAATCGCAGCAGAGATCATCTGACTTCATCGTCTGTTTTCACCTTCTTCCTCTCAGATTCTCGTAAAGGTGTCTTCATATGATTTGTAGCCCTTGAAGTTAGCTTTCATATGAAGTTTGAATCGTGTCCATTGGTTGTTTCTACAAAGAGATAAGCTTGAACGATTGACAGAAGGTCATTCTGATCGTCGTTTTCAAGCTTCATTCATCTTCTTTTGATCCTGAAGCCAATCCTAGAGCTCTTTTTCCTTCAAATCTTCATCGTTAATCTTCCGGTGACCTCCAAATCTATAAAATCATTCTCAAATGCTTCTCAAATCATCCCGATTGTTCCTCAAGTACCGGTGCCGGGCTCAAATTCCCTGATTTTGACTACAAACAACACAAAACTCGAACCAACGCCCGGTAAACATAACTTGAGCTAAAATTGAGACTTGTAACACCTTAAAACTAGGAAAATCATCAAAAGTCAATCTCAACACGCATCAAATACGTGTCAAAATACGGACTTATCACAACCTCACTGGCAGTAAAAGAAGCAGGTGGTATTTCCAAGTTATCTTCCTCATCAATGTGCAATAGTAAATATTGCTTGTTAGGGCACCTATGAGAAGAAGTAAATTTCTCATCGCATGTGTAACATAACCCTTTCTCTCTTCGCAATTGCATTTCAGCCGGAGAAATTTTTTTTACACTTACTGATTTTTGGGACATGGAACTGTAATTTGTAGCAGGTTTAGGTAATAAGGGAGGAAGATTGGTAGATTTTATTGATTGTGACGAAGGTAGATTTGTACTGAAGTTTGAATTGGAAGCTGGACTCACCATACGGTTCTGAAGGTTGTTCTGATGTGATTTGTGCGTATGGACATATTTTTCCTCGAATAACTTTGCCAATGACACACCTGAGTAATGTAGTTGGTGATTGAGCGATCACCTCCCTTTGAATATCAGGTTTCAACCCTCCGACAAAGCAATCCAACATTGCTTCACTGGTCACACCTTGGACTCGATTTGCTAGAGCAGTAAATTTTGTGTAATAAATAATAATCATGAACCGACCCAGTTTGTGAGAGTTTGAATAAAATCGATCTAATGCTTTCATATGGTGACGGGCCAAATTCGAGTTCTAGGGCACGAGTTAGATCTGTCCAAGAGTGAAATGGAGTAGATCTATTTGTCATTTGGAACCAGGGAACTACCTCTTTCTCCATGTGAATAGCGGCAATGGTGAGGCGCTGACTATCCGGTGTATTATAATAGTCGAAGAACTGCTCTGCCTTGAATATCCACTGGAGAACTCCAGATCCATCGAATCGTGGAAAATCCAGTTTAACATTTCTCACCTGAAATGGTTGATGATGTAAGCTACTGCTTGTGGCATGGCTTCCTGACTCATGCCCTTGTTGATGATCCCCCATCTTTGTGTTGTGCTGCAACATTGCGCTTACTGTAGCCTCTAATGTTTCGAATCGCACATTGTTTTCCCGCTTGTCCGATTCCATCATTTCCACCATCTTTGTTATGTTCGTAGATAGCTCTTTCAGACGCGTACCTTCCGTCATGTTCGAAGGATGAAAGCACCAGTGTAACAACCGGGAAAATAACAGCAAGAGAATAAAACTAAAATAAGACTATAAGAGAGAATTTATGTTTTAAGGTAGATTCATTGGCATTGTTGCAGCTCACAGTCTGAAAAGTTATTACAGAAGAGTCACATGAAGAAGAGAATAGAGATAAACAACTTCCATGACTTCCATAATATATAAAATAAGTATTTATACTATTTATGAGACCACACAAAATCCTTCAGCATCGTGTTTGTTATTTTAGTCCGAGTACTCCGCCTTTTTCCTCCATTAGTTGCCACGTGATTGTTCTCCTGGGCCCCACATAGTCTTCTTCCTTTTCTCCACTAGCTATATTTGTTACAGTGTATACCAAACCAAAGCCTTTTCATGCTAGGTGGCGTCCTCGATATGGCTTCTTGCATCAGATGATTTACAAAAACTTTGTTTCTCAACTAAAGTAGAGTTATCATCATACTTTTCTCTAAGAGAACGAAAGTTGTAGTCATCACCATACATAGTTGCATCCGAGCTGATCTCATTAACATCAGCCTTACCTTCAAGCATTTGGACCACTGCGGACATGGTTGGCCGAAGCGCTGGTGACGGACTGGTACACAACAATGCCAGTTTGATAATTCTCAAGGCCTCCTCTCTGTTGAAATCGGACCCCAGTTTTGGATCTACCAGCTCCAGCAAATTCCCTTTCTTTTGTTGAACTAAGGCCTGCACAAAACAAGCATGCATGATCCAGAGGGTTTCTGGGATTTATTTTTGTAAAGAAAATGAAAGAAAAGGTTGGACATTATGCTTTTATGATTTTAGGGAGAAAGAGTTATTGAGTCTAACCCAGTCAAGTAGGCAAACATAGTCCTCATCAGGCCGAAACTTCATGTTGTTTATTCCAGCAACTATTTCTAGAATCAGAACGCCGAAGCTATACACGTCTACTTTATAAGTCAAGTAGCCCCATAATGCATATTCAGGGGCCATGTATCCACTGTAGAAGAGCATTTCTCTAATGTATGAAGAGTTTTTTCAAATAAAATGACCATCAACTTTTGTACTATCTATTAAAATTGTGTACAATAACATACAAGCCTTAATCCTAAAAGAGTTTGGGATCGCCTAACATGAATCCACACATTAGCAGACCCCAAACTCTTTTGGCATTAATAATATCATGTTAATGCCTAGTATCGCAACTATTTTGGCAGTAATTACTCCAAGATAGCAGTCCTATTTTGGAATTCCAAAACCTCTTTACTCCTATCTCGGGAACTTTCCCAATGAGCATTCTGTAGTTACGAAATAAACACATGTTAAAGAAAACATATAAATACATGGATTAAAATTACACTCGAAGTCTGTACACCTAGACAGCCTCGACATTCAGCGCAACCGTGGGGATCCAACTTTGAGGGGGAATTTCGGATCATTTGGCGTTAAGCTCAACTAGGTTTGCATCCCTTCTATTAATAGCACTAAAGACAATTGTAGTATGTATTTCTTGACAATGAAACACTATGGTTTGACCGTGCGCCAAAGTAGTCTTGTTAAACAAATATGTGCATCTTTTATCATTTTTCTTTATTATTTTTTCTTTCTTATAACTTTATTGAGGAAACTTTAGGTTATGAAGAAGAAAAGGTGATCCCATCCTCCCTCTCAGATCCATATATGAAAAGCAGCTAATCATCAAAGGAATAAAAATAGCTCACATTGTTCCTGCAACTCTAGTGCTGATGTGTGTGTTATCCCCTTCATCAAGTTTGGCCAAACCAAAGTCCGCAATTTTTGGATTGAGGTTCTTGTCAACTAGTACATTAGCAGCTTTTATGTCTCTGTGAACAATTTTTAGAGCTGACTCTTCATGCAGGAAAGCTAAACCTTTAGCTGTGCCAACACAAATTTTTTGCCTAGTTGGCCAGTCTATTGCCAGTCGTGATTCTTCTGGACCTTTAAGATATTTTGAAAGAAAAATGTCTGAAAAGTGGATTTAAATTTTGCACTTCCAACCTCAAGATCCGTTTGGACCCCAGAAAAATATCAGGCAAGAAATAGGATGGAAAACATAAAGGAAAATAAGAAGAAAATGTAGGGGGGATATAAAAGATATGCAAAAACACACAAAGATTTTATTTTAGATATTTGTTGATACTAGTTGATACTGTTATTTTATATATCTAATGTTTTTTATAGACTATGATTGAAATATGTAACAGAACTAATCATATGTCATGTTCGTTTGCACTTCTGAATTAAAACCAGTTACTAAAACATAAATTCACTAAGCGTTTTTCCCCTTTCCCCAGCTTTTTATGTGATACATACATACCCCGAGTTTTCTCTTGTAAGTAAGAAAAAAAAACAAAAAAAAAAAATGTCCTTGTACCCCCCTCCCCCTTTTCTTTTTCTAAGCAGTTTGTAAGTATCGACAGAAATGAATAACAAAGGTGATGTTACCAAGCAGAGCACGGGCAAGGCTGTTGTTCTCGACATACTCATATACCAGTAGAAGTTGATGTCCATCTACACAGCATCCATAGAGTCTCACAACATTTGGGTGTTGCAAACCAGAGATGATGCCAATTTCATTCACAAATTCACGGTTTCCTTGTTTTGATTTGGAGGAAAGCTGCTTAACTGCAATTATGGTACCATCTAGTAGTGTACCCTGTTTATTAATCATCCAAAAAAGGTAGTAAGGTCATTTTGAGCATGGGCTCCTTGAACGTAACATACAAATTCACTCGTGGGATACAGAAAGAGAAAAGAATTACATTTAAACCAATGTAACCGAATCCTAGTGAAATGTACCTTGTAAACAGCTCCAAAACCACCTTCTCCAATCTTATTTGCAGCACTGAAGTCGTCAGTGGCAGCTTTAAGTTGTCTCAAGGTGAAGAAGCCAGTCTTCAGATCAAGTCTAGCTAGTTCTGCTCATAAACAACAGCAGATGGATCATTTACCATGTAAAAGAGAATAAATGATCAAACATATGAGATGTAGAAGTGCGAAAGAAGGATCTAAATATATTTAAAAAATCACTAGACTTCAACATTTCTAGGAATACCCATGGCACAAGTATGTATATTACAAGTATGATTTATGTAAAATACTGTGACATGCAGGGTATTTGTGGGAGGCTGGGAACCACCTTGTTCCTTTGAAATTTTTCTTTTGTGGTAGCTTATTCTCCAAACAATGCCAAGAACCATGAGAATGAAAATTAATGGAGTAGCCACTGAAACAGCTATAATAAGAGCCTTTCTGTTGTCATTAGGAGGTTCAAAATCTGCAGAAGAAGAAACAGTTCTACCACATCAGATGTCATTGAGTTTACTTTTCTGTGGTCAATGTTAAATTCCATGAGAGAGAGAGAGAAAACACACCATAAATAATACTCCCTCCATCCTTTTTTTAAAAATGCTTGGTATACACCTTTTGTGTACGCCATTCGCACAGAGTTGTCTAGAGTTGTCTGTATACAGAAAAATTCTGTATTTTCAGGCAAATTGTCTATACAGACAAGGTATGTGAATGGTGTATACAAAAAGGTGTACACCTAGCACTTTTGTTATTTTTTACTTGTCACGTTTTTGACTGGAAAGTTTTTACTCCCTCCGGATTCAAAAGATCCATATGTTAGGTTATGGCACAAGTTTTAAGGGAGAATAGTAGGGGTAATGGATAGTATAGGAAAAGTAGGAGAGAAAGTGAAAAAGTAGGAAAGAAATGATAAAAAGTAGAAAAAGTAAGAGTGATTGAGTATTTTTAAAGGAAAAACTTACCAAAAAGGGAAAGTGTATGGAACTTTTAAATACATCCTGAAATGGAAAGTGTATGAAACTTTAAAATACGGAGGGAGTATTACTTTTCATATTTCTATATTTGGAAACTTTTACCCTACTTTTTCATATTCTCTTTCCTATTTTTTCACTTTTGCTCTTTTTGTTTCCTACTCTTTCTACTTATTCTCCTTTTCCCTACGCTTTTTAGTTCTCTTTCATACTTTTTCTACCCAGATTCCACTTTTAATCTTTGTGATAAGCTTACAATGACAAGTAAAAAAAACAGAGAAAGTAATAGTAATAATAATAATAACAATAATAATTGTCATAGTAATAAAAAAAAGTATATCAATAGAAACAATAACTAGAATAATAATATACTACTCCTCCGTCCAAAAAAGTCATGATTGGTCAAGGTGTAACTTTCAATTTTGGAAATGTACTGACCTTAAAAGTTATTACATCCTACATACATAGTATATTTTCAAGGCAAATTGTAACTATAGCCCTAAAGGCCTAAACCGTTGGCTATGATTAAGAATTAATTACAACTCATGAGGATTTCTTTTGTAACTTCAAGGAAAATAAGCAAATATTTATATAAAATATATTCAATCTGCACATGGAAATATGATCTAGTGTACAGAAATATGATCTTTGCATTAACTTTATCACACATTAATGAACATTTTGTGTTCGTTGGAAAACAATAACATTAATCATGAAATCTTTAAAGATGAACCGCTGCCCTTAAAGACTATGGTTTGCAGTACCTTTTTCTTAATTACACGAAGATCTTTACTTGATCAGCTAGCGCCAATTTTTGGGATAAAAGTAATAAATAAACAATATTTTGGGGACGATGGGAGTAATACTATTATAGTAATATTATATTATTGTTATTACCAGATACTACAGAGATAGCTGACACTAAAGAGCCATATTTTCCTCTTACTGGGACTGCTGTTGTCCCTTTCCCAGCATAGTGAAAGCGTATTTCTAGAGTCTTGTCTGTGACAGTCGCCTTAAATTTCAGCTTTATGGGTATATCAACTCCTTGAGCTTTACTTTTAATGTCAAAGTCCTTCAAGACACGTAGACCCTGTGAAATTTCCTACAAATTTTGAGTGAATTGCCTAATAGTTTACAGAATAATTCGTCCATTACTATATAAAAATTCCACCTGTATATAAACATCAAATAGCCGTCTTCCAAGACTTTGGAATGACCTATTATCTCTTATAACAATTTCTGCAAAATGTAGAGTGATCGTATAGTTTCCATTTGCCAAGCAGCGTCCATAATAAGTCAATGATAAAGGAGAGACACGAGCCGTTGTGTAAAGTTCAGTTTCATTTCCCTCTATGACAGATATATTACTTGCTGTATAGTCAGAAATGGTTCGGTTTCTATCCCAAAAGTCTCCTGTACTACTTGTAACCCAATTCTCATAGGGGTGAGCAAAGTTTGTTGAGCCTGCTGAGGCTTGATCGTCATCATAAGAAGTTTCTCCAACCACAACTTTGGAACCAGCACAATTTATATGGAAGGAATACCAATCTGCGGAGAGCAAAAGAGAAAAAAGAGAAATTGCATACTATGCAATTAAGTGTACACATTCAAAAAGTGCCAAAATAAATGGTATATTTGTTCATCAATTAATGTTGGTGAATGAAAGAAAAAAAGGTGATGGCTGATAATTATTCCATCTGTTCTGTAAATTTCCAGGTAAGAACAATCATGTTACTCTAAATGTACAAAGAGTTGTAGAAAGTGCACTTGCCCTTTGAGCAAGAAATCAAGCATTTCCCTGCTTCTCTACAAAAAATCACAGAAGAATGTCACAAGTCACAACAAGACTAAGCTGGACAGACCTAGGAGAAGTAAGAAAAGGAAAAATTATATCCAATTAATTCAACTTGATAGAGTTAAATCTTACCCATTATCCCATCCGCTGAAGGTTTTGAACAAGTTGCTGGAAACAGAATAAAAAAGACATTAGGAATGCATTTCTGAAGAACCTTTATTTGTTAACATGAATGTAAATATTGGACTTACAAGCTGTCGCGACAAGTTGATGGAACAGAGCTCTCGGCAAAGTTATTGTATGAAATATCTATTTGCCTGCAAATGAAATGTAAAGATTCTTAGAGGATACCTTGAGTTACAGAAGATTTATATATACATGAATAACATTTCGTTGAGAAAGTAGCAAAACTACACTAATTAACAAGCACTAAAGGAGTGATTTCAAGATTTAAATTAAACTTACGTTCTGGGATCTCGACTTTTCATCCACTCTGGTACAGGCCCAGTAAAAGAGTTGTTTGTCAGTAACCTATTAGGTTGGACATCATTTTAGTGCATAAGAGTTATACTCTAATATTCTATGAAGAATTTCACAAAGTATGAAGCTGGAAATTAAAAATATTTCCTCCGTCCCCTTAAAAGAGTCATATTTCACATTTTCGCCACAGTACAACTTTTAATTTTAGTAAGGTTTGAAATCATTAACTTTAGCTGTACTTTCAAATTTTTTTATTAGTTTTATTAAATACAACATATTTGTTTAGAACACTTTTCTACTAAGAATGTTTAAAATATAAGTTACTTTTGTTCAAATAGAACTCCCTTTTTAGGATGGAGGAAGTATTTTTTGTGAAGTACTTTCTTTGTTTTTAAACACTAAAAAGCTATATTATTCATTCTGGACTCCAGCATGGAGAGATTTAGGTATAAAAAGATGAATGAACAGCCAGGGGAGAAGTGACCGTATTGTTTTGGTACGCACATCATCTCCATATTACTCAGGCCATCAAGACTTGGAATTTCACCTTCCAGATTGTTGAAACTCAGATCACTGTAAAATTTGGTAGGGGGGTGCATCTTAGCCAGAATCTTTTTGCATGTGCCACATAAATGGAAATGATAGCTAAGGTAGTAAGGTACATAGAGCAATGCATCTTAACCCTATTGTGTTTATCTCTATGTTAATTACATATAAAAATGATGATAACCGTTTTACTTTTTATTTACAATTCATTAATATATAGTTTTTGCAAAGGGATAATCCAGAAAATTTTAACAAAAGAACCAAAAGCAACAAAAAATTACAGAGAACGCAATGGCGTCATACTGCCCACAAAATCTGGAATCTTCCCGGATAAATAGCAGCTCCTCAACATCCTGTGACAACAATTCATTCCACCAATATTATGGAAATAGGGAAAGTTTGACATATCTATCAAGGAACTAAAAGAGTGTTACTTACAACTTTTGCATGGTTGTCATGTTTTTTAACCAGGGAAACACGGAGACACCTCCATTCAAGTCACTAATTCTTCTGCAGATTCATTTCAAAAGATTAATAGGATTGACAACTGCTTCTCATAGACGGAATTTGGCCGAAGCATTTACTCACAGTTCAGTTAAGTTGGTTAATACAGAAATGCTTGATGGTATCGGTCCTTCAAAACCACCAGCTTCAATCTCTATTCACTCATAAAGCAAAAGTTACATGTAAAACATAACAAACAAGTCAAAATCTTGGTGGAAACCGGAAAGGCTTACAAGCTTTGAAGGTTTTTCCAGGTCTCGAAGCTAGGCAATTTCCCTCTGAAGTTGTTCCGGCTCAACCTACTGTATTGGATGAATTGTAATTAAAACAACTGAAGGCATTTTTGCTTTGGAAACTGATAATTAAGTCATGCCCGCGTACATTTCTGTCAACTTGGTCAAAGTATTCAATTCCATTGGGAGCTCACCGCTGAGATTGTTTGCAGAGATAATGCTGCAAAAAAAACAGGAGAACATATGGAAGAAATTGGGGAGCAAGAATATCAAAATTGAATTAGTGAGACAGTTAGAAAGTCCATACAATCTCTCTAAATTGACAAGTTTCCCTAGTTCCTTTGGAACAGTTCCGTTAAACATGTTATTCTCCAGACTCCTGAAACAGTTATCAACTTTGAAGAATCCCAAATAAAGATATCATGTGTGTGTCTGTAAAGTGCAAGGGAAAACACATACATTATAGCAAGAGTGGTTATATTTCCCAAATATGCTGGAATGGGTCCTGATAATTTATTTACAGCAACACTTCTGCAAAACCACATGTTAGTTAAAAACAAGTTTCCATTGCTTGATAGGTAAATAATAGGTGATAAACTCACATGAATTGCAGTTTGGTAGATGCCCATTCATGGGGTATTGTCCCACTTAGATAGTTACGAGTAAGGTCACTGCAAGAAATGAAGATAATTTGATCAGGAAATCCAAATATCATACTCCAACTATAGTAGACCTGGAGAGAAACCCAACTATATATAAGGAAAATCTTGTACATCTTCTTGAGGAACGGTAGCTTCGATAAAGAAGGGGGGAGGACACCCGCTAAATCCTGTCCATTCAGTGCTCTACTTGCATAAAAAAAACTATGAGCATTTGACAGAATTTTGCAAAAGAAGGTACAGAAACAAATAAAAGGATGAAAGAACATACATGGTATCGACATGGCAGGAACCATCACCATAAGTACAATTGCAGAGAAGAGAATTTTTATAGCCTGGAATATCAATCTGCTGTGGGGTGTTCCAGCTTGGGTCCCCATCACACGGATTCAGGCTAGAGTTCCAGCCCTTTTTCCCTAACTGAGCAGCTATTTCAGCAAGAGCTCTCACTGAACATTCCAATTTTAATCTCAGCAAAGTTAAACATTAAAGTTGTAAATTTCAAAAACGCATACACGTTACCCTTGTTATCCAGAAATGTGCTTTAAATAAATATTCCTTTTCCATTTCTAGACCTCGCTTAATCCTTTTAAGCACGAGAAGCTTTTATGATCACATTAAAATGGCAATAAGCAAACTTCTCGATTAAATTACTGCTATTAGATTAAATCTACCGCGCACGCCGCCCTTCTAGCTAAAAACAAGGTGCTTACAAGTTGCAAGAACTTACCTTCAGTCTGTGGAAGAGGAAGAGCCGGAGCTTGAGCTTGAATGTAAATGGGCTTGAAGCAGAAGATCGACATAAGCAAAAAGAGCACGGCATTCGAGCTCAGAAAGGTTTTCTTCATCTCTCAAGAGTTCAAGAGTGCGGCGCATAAGCAGACAACATTGAATGATTTATAAAACGCTTATCTATTTCTCTCTCTCCAACTTTTATATTCCATTATTTCTTACCTCATTTCTGATCCTACCTGATGTTTAAAAAACATGAGTACTCATACTTTTCATACAGAAAAGTATGAAAATTGCTGTGGATCTGAATACTTCCTGAACTTCCCCAAAGCTAAGCGACCATGGCAGCTTCAAAGACGACTGTCAAGGTTCATTTTTCCCTCTGAAAAGTCCATCTCATTACAGGTAAGATATACGGAGTATTTTTATACTTAAGATATTGTCAAAACTGAAACTAACCACAAAAATGCAAATTACCTCGAGGTTTTGTCCTGTCGTTGCCATTTAGGACGGTGCCCGGTAGAATTTTTGATAAAGTTTTTTTAACATCTTTTTCATTAAGTCTAGTTTACTCATACCAAATTTCAGTTAAAAATAAAACTGGGAAGATAGTCAAATGATTTTCTTAAATATACTTCGTTGTTTAACTGCGCAGATATCTTCAAAAATTCATTTTAGTGCCTTCCTGATTGCATTTTTGTGAAATTTGGTATGAGTAAACTAGACTTAACGAAGAAGATGATAAAATTTTTTTATCAAAACATTCTACCGGGAATCTCCCCAAATGACGAAGGCCGGACAGAGCCTCCTATATAAGGGGTGATTTGCACTTTTTTAGTTCGAGGGCTTATTTGCCCTTTTCCTCCCTAATAATTTTCATATTTTTATAAGTATTACATAGTATATTTTTATTTTGTGTAGGGATAATTATTGCCATATTTTTAAAAACATTGTTAATTATTGTAGTATTATGCATTAATACTGTTATGTTTATGTTTTGCAAATTACTCATATTTAGAGAAAAATATAATCTTTTTATTTTAAAATCTTAAATTGTTTTAACTCTTATTCGAGATCCATTTATATTTTTTGATAGTCAATAAAACATTTGAATTGTGAAAGTCAAACGATATCATTTAAATAAAACCATGAAGTAAATCAAACTAAAGTGAAAAGTAATTATTTTTCATAACAATCCAAAACTCATTCATTCATAAAAAACAATCCCACAATCATACGTAGTAGTAATTAATAAGAATGCAAAATATATGTTACACATTTACAACTTCCAAGATAGAGAAAATGTCTAACTGAAAGACTTTTATGAACAAGCTAATGAACTATACATGCTATATCATTACAACTTAAATCATAATATGATATGAGTAGTTACATTAATATACAGTTTAAAATCAATATATTTTTCCCACAGAAATTCTCTGTCCGACTCCGCCATTGGTACTGCAGACTGGTTTATTTGATAAGATAAAGTTCTGGCTAGAAGGTGGACGATGAAGAAGGGTCATCTCCTGTTTTTGAACTATGTGATTGAAAAAGACTGTGTTTCTCACTTAACTTCATTTCGTCATACTTTCCCCTAAGTGCATGAAAGTTGTACTCGTCGCCAAACATTGATGCATCCGAGCTGAGCTCATTAACATCGGCCTCACCTTCAAGCATTAGGACAACTGCAGACATGGTTGGTCGAAGCGCTGGTGATGGACTGGTACATAACAATGCCACTTTGATCATTCTCAATGCCTCATCTCTATCAAAATCCGATTCGAGTCTAGGATCTACCAGCTCCAGCAAATTCCCTCTTTTTTGTAAAACTAAGGCCTGTAAAATAATCATTTATGATCATCAACAAATGTGTATGTTATATACTTAGAGGTACAGATATACTAGAGAAGGTTCTTTAGAGTGAACAAATAAACACCTCTTTGAGAACTTTAAATTTTCAGCTTTTATTTTGTAATCACTGACTAGTATTTTGCAGGTGACATTTTTGTTGTGTGAAAGACAGCCCATTTGAGTTTATGTAATTCATGAGTAAACCACTATAAATGTTAGCCATATTAAAAAGGATGAATGAGAGATCAAAAGTTTTCATAACAAGATCTGTTTATGATAAGAAGTGTTCGACGTAACAATCTTCCCATCCTGTCATATGTGTGTGTGTGAAGTGCTAAAGTTGTGTGAAAGCATGGTGTTTTGCTTTATGTGATTTCTCACCCAGTCAAGTAGGCAAACATAGTTCGCTTCAGGCCGAAACTTAATGTTGTTTATTCCAGCAACAATTTCGAGAGTCAGAACACCAAAGCTGTACACATCTACTTTGTATGTTAAGTAACCCCATAATGCATACTCAGGGGCCATGTATCCACTGCATAAAGAACAAACAAGAAATTAAGGGCTCCACTTTTCTTAGGTACAGATGTTTTTTCTAAACCAGAAATATTGCACAATGGAGGTAGAGTGTCTAACTTTGAAGGACCAACATATAAGTGACTTCTTTCCTAACATAAAAGTTAAAAACCAATATATATTATCTCACATTGTACCGGCGACTCTAGTGCTGATATGAGTGTTCCCCTCTTCGTCAAGTTTGGCCAAACCAAAGTCCGAAATTTTTGGATTGAGGATTTTGTCAAGAAGTACATTACCAGCTTTGATGTCCCTATGAACAATTCTTAGAGCTGACTCATCATGCAGAAAAGCTAAACCTTTAGCTACTCCAACACAAATTCTTTGCCTACTCGGCCAGTCTATTTTCAGCCGTGTTTCTTCCGGACCTTCAAGAAAATTTGGAAGTGAAATATCTGAAAAAAGGGATTTAAAATTTTGTACTCTAACCTTCTAGTTATATCTTTGCAACTATTAACAGAAAGAATAATCAAGGTGATTTTACCAAATAGAGCACGTGCAAGGCTGTTGTTTTCCACATACTCGTATACAAGTAGAAGATGGTTTTTTTCTACACAGCATCCATAAATCCTCACAACATTAGGGTGTAGCAAACCAGATATCATGCCAATTTCATTTACGAACTCACGGGTTCCTTGGGCTGACTTGGATGAGAGCACCTTAACAGCTATTATGGTGCCATCAAGTAGTGTACCCTTTTATTAACAAAGAAATGCTACACAGTCATTTGTCCATGTCATCCATATCTTGTTATGCATTAAATAATTATGTACTTGGTATATAGCATCAGTCCACTCAAGTTTGGTCAGAACTTTGTTCTTTTAGTAAATTTTGCTCATTTAGAATTTCATTTTAAAAAAAGGATCCACCCATGATTAGGGAAGAAAGAAATAAGGAAATATATTAGATTATTACAAGGGGTTCCCCCATCCCGCAAGAATGCAAGATGATGAGTTGTTGGTGTATATCAATGTTGTAATTCAGATTCTTTTAAAGTCTTAGTTGGATCAATTACTCGTTTGAGTTTAGTTGATACTGATATTATCTTATAACTTGATATTCTATTCCAAACAATCAAACTAATAGGATTACAAAGTTCTATATGTTGGTATGTGTCTTTACGACGATTGGCTAGTGTAGATGGTTTAACAAAATATTAAAGTCAATACATGGGCCAATTCACAGCTGGGGAGGGCCTTGTAAAATATTGACTTGTTGGAGAGTATATGAATGGTTGGTTTGCCTCTTTATACTTAACCTAAAAAAGATGATTTAAACTGCCCATATGTAGTGGGTAGTTGAAGCAGGTCAATCTTGAAATTTTTGTACCTTTTTAGTTATTTTTTGATCGATTGCTCGTTTAAACTTAATTGATATTTTGATACTATAACAAAATATGGAGTTTCATACTAAATTATCAAATAGAAGCAGTACAAAACTCTATATCTTGATTTTTATCTGAATTGACCGGTGTATGATGACTTGATAAAATATTAAAGTCAGATAAAAATATACTATGTACCTTGTAAACTGCTCCAAAACCACCTTCTCCTAGTTTATTTTCAGCACTAAAGTCATCAGTGGCAGCTTTGATTTGTCTAAAGGTGAAGATACCAGTCCTCAGATCAAGCCCAGCTAGTTCTGTACATGATACACAAAACTAAGATACATTTCTCATGTACTCGTAATAGAGAGTCGATGAGTCTAAGATATGCGTGCATTCAATGTTTATAATTCGCGTTCTTGGTTGGTGAGAGAATGAAATTTCTATGTATGATATGCTTGACGATGTAAGAAATAGGCCATGTGTGGGAACCACCTTTTTGCATTGCAAGTTTTCTTCTGGAGTATTTAATTCTCCAAGCAATACCAACAAGTATGAGGATGACAAGTAAGGGAGATATCACAGACGCAGCTATAATGAGATTCAGCCTTTTGTGATTAGGAGGGCTGAAATCTGTAGCATGAGAAATGCAATTACAAAGCGAGAATTAGATAAATGACTACTGCATCCAGAAAATATAACAATGAAAAAAACAAGCATTGGGTTACTTCTATTATTTGGTTAACCTTTTAAAACAGAAACAAATCTTAATAATAACTACTTGCTATGTCCTATTTTGTTATCTGCACTTTCTTTTCACGTCTCACTCAAAATTCTAAACAATTTCCAGATGTGAACTTCACTAACTTTTTACTTGCCTACTTTATCGTTTGATTTAACATTCCTCGCACTATTATTTTCCTTCTAGACTGTTATTATTCTAGAATAACAATTATCTCCTTTATTTTATAAAACCTGTGCCAAACCGCCACATGTACCTACCTACATTTTGGAGGAACATATGCAGTAACAATAAAGCATGAATAACAAAAATCATATTTACTTCGCAAAAAAAATCATATTTACTTGATACTACAGAGATAGCTGATACTAAAGAACCGTATTTCCCTCTGGTTGGGACAGCTGTAGTCCCCTTCCCGGTATAGTGAAAGCGCACTTCTAACGTTTTGTCGGTGACGGTTGCATTGAATTTCAGTTTTATGGGTGTATCCACTCCATGAGCTGCACTTTTTATATCAAAATCATTTAAGACGCGTACACCCTGTTGGAAATGCTACAAATTGAGTTAATCACATCATTTAATTTGAAAAAAAATGTCCACTGCTATATTAAAATTCACCTGGATATAAACATCAAAGAACCGTTTTCCAAGACTGCGGAATGATCTGTTATCTCTTATAACGATTTCTGCGAAACGTAGAGTGACAGTGTAGTTTCCATTTGCCAAACAGCGACCAAAGTAAGTCAAAGATAAAGGAGAGACACGGGCAGTCGTGTAAAGTTCAGTTTCATTATTTCCCTTGATAACGGATACATTGCGTTCTGTATAGGCAGAAACCGTTCGGGTTGCATCCCAAAAGTCCCCTGTACTACTGGCAACCCAATTTTCATATAGGTGAGCAAAGTTTGTAGAGCCTGATGAGCCTTCATCGTTGTCATAGGTGTTGTCTCCAATTACTACTTTGGGACCGCCACAATTTATATGAAAAGAATACCAATCTGCAGCAAGAGATATCAAGAATGACTATAGAACCAATGACATGTTTATTTGTGAACAATCCCACATCAAAATACCAGGCATACATGTGCATTTATGGAATTAATTACTCTATAATGTGTGTATGGGTTACTATCTCCATTTGTGCTTACCCTTAGAACAGGCCATCATGCATTTCCCAGCTTCTCTATACATAGTAAGAAAAAAACAAGTCAGAACCAGCCTAATACCGAAAAAATAACTGGAGCCCAGCTCTTTCCCATGAGTCCTTGTGAAGAAACCATATCTTACTCATGATTCCACCCGGGGGAGGATTTGAATACATTGCTGAGAAATAGAAGGAAAGGTCATTAGTAATAATCAATCCCATCTGCAAGTAATCAAAAGAACATTGAAAGCCTTACAAACTCTCACGACAACTAGACGGGACAGAGCTCTCACTGAAGTTATTGTAAGAAATATCTACTTGCCTGCAATTGAACTCTTTTTTATTAGGTGTCTAAATGTACAAATTTTGCTATGCACATAGAGCATATAATTAATAACCTTCTTTTAGTAGAAGAGAAGAAAAGGCAATAAACATAAAACTAAATATACTTTCTGGGATCTTGAACTTGCATCCAGTCTGGGATTGACCCATTGAAGGAGTTGTTCGTCAAAAACCTAACATGTAGACATCATTTTAATTGGTAAGAATAATGTTGTCATCCAAGTATATAATTTCATTACTTTTTCGGATGATTTGGCACAAATACTTTATAAGCTATCCACTGAATGATAAATTAGAACATTGCTCTTTATTGTAAAACATAGTTTTTTCAAAAATTAAAATACCTAGATTTTATTCCTTAAGTTCAACTTATGTGATCCTCAGTGGTGATGGCAGTGGAAGTGATATGAAAAAGAAATATTTTGGGCAATTTAATATGAAATGTGTTCTAATTACAAACTTACAAAAATCTTACAAACATGTGATGGTGTCGGGTATAATTGCCATTAATATAAAAGTGATATGATATGTAGTATAAAAAATTCACACAAATAATCCTCATTGGGAGGATTATTATGAGATTAAATTGGTGACATGGCAGTTTTTTTAGAGAATTATCATTAAGTGACATAGATTGTTTAATGTGATTATTTGCTACAATAATGTGGGATCAAAATATAAATCCGGATTATTTTGAGATTATTTGAAAAGTATATGTAATAGAGATTAATGCATGACAAAGAAAAAACAGATTATTTGAAGATGATGATTGAGAGACATAAACGAATTTTGAGATTATTTTATAATTAATTACATAACAATATTTAAATGGTAAGAATCATATAAAAAATTGATTATTAGAGACCATGAATGGAGATGCTTTTAGCCGTCCTCCTATATTAATCTGTGATTCGAATATAATCCAAATTATGAGGCCATTTGGTAACACCGTTTTTCAGCTTATCAGGCTTATCAGCCAATTTTTCACCAAACACGTAATTTTTGCTTTCTCGTGCTGAATTGTGTAATAAGCAGAAAAAGTAAGGTTGATGTTGGTAGAAAATACCCCAGGTAGGAAAAGTGGCAGCACTTCAGTATAATAGAAATGACGTGGGTAATACATGAGGGGTGATGGCCTATTTATAAGCATTCATCACAAGTCCAAATAATAATGCTACGTGGGCTTGGCCCAATAAATAAGTAAACAAGCTCAGACCAATTTCCGCTAGTCGGACTATGTCCTGGGCCTGGCTGAGCCTAGGCTTGGGTATAACGGGCCGATAGTACTGGACCTGGCCCATTATCCCAACAGTTGAAGTTACTTTTCTGACTGTATTAGGTGAAGTTATTGTAGATGACCATTTTAACTATTTTTACATATAATTTTTTCTTTATTTTATTAATAAAATATATTTTAAAATTATTTTTTTCTTAAATCAATAGAATCAACCAATGCAGCCACTTCAGCCAGAACTTCATAGATTTCAACAGAATCAGCCAAATCAGCCTATTTTTGTGCTATCAAACGGGCTCTATAATGAGTATCGCTTTAAAATAAACCGGTGGCCTGCATAAACCAATTCAGCAGGTCACCCGCACACGTATCCTATGGTTATTGGTTCTGTTTGCTTCTCCCTTTTTTTTCCTTTTTTCATTATTTTCTTTTCTTTTTATCGTTTGCTGCTCTAATTGGGTTTACTGTTCATAGATTGTTTGTCTTCCTTACTAAAATGGTTTTACTATTCTTGAACCAATAAAAACGCAAATCAGTTAAAGAAGCTTTAGAGCCCGTTTGGTAACACTAAAATTGATTGAATCAGTTGATTCTGCTGAAATTTGTGATATTATGGGAAAAAAAATATTTAAAATATTTTTTATTAATAAAACAAAAAATGCATATGAAAAATAGCTAAAATAATAATTTGATGAAAAAGGAAGGGAAAAGGTGCAAATAGGTCCATGTACTAACAAAAAAAGGTCAAATAAGTCCTTATTTAGGAGGCTTTGTCCGACCATCGCCATTTGGAGTGGTTCCCGGTAGAATTTTTGGATGAAATTTTTTGAGCATCTTATTCATCAAGTCTAGTTTGCTCATACCAAAGTTCAGCTAAAACTTCAATCGGGAAGGCATTCAAATGAATTCTTGAAGATAACTGCGCTTCTAACTGCACAGTTAATGAATAAGATGCTCAAAAAATTTCATTAAAAAATTTCATCGGGAACCACCCCAAATGACGACGGCAGGACAGAACTTCCCAAATAAGTACTTATTTGATCTTTTTTTGTTAGTACATGGGTCTATTTGTATTTTTTCCCAAAAAGGAATAGCCAAACACCAAAAGGAAGTGACCCATGTTTCCAGCTATTAGTGTTCGGCCATCTTTTTCACTCTCTCGGCGGTAACCTCGACGCCCAAGGAAGGAGGAACAAGGTTGGATGTGATGGTAGATTCGCCAAATGTTGGTCCGATATTCGTCGGGGAAGATAACTGGAGTTATGGGCGACCAATTTAGATCTGCAATATGCTTTTTCATGCTTTCTATCGGCAATCGTCGTCCGTTTACACCCACAAAGAGGAAATAGGTGGCAAGGAGATTTCCATTTCCAGAGGAAGGAGAAAATAAGAGAAGAAAAAGGAATGAACAACTATGGCTATTACGCCTATTCAAAAAGTGCAGGCGAGGAAGAAAGACTTGTAGAAGGAGCCAGCCAAGAAGATCAATCTTACAGCTTTTTTCCTTTCTCATTTTAGTATTTTAACCTGCTGATTAAGTTGCAGGTAACCTGGATCAACCTGGGAAGACTCCTTGAGTACTTGTAAATTTCAGATTATTTTAGAATTATGTGGGGCTCTATCCCCTATACTTGGAGAGGTCAGGCCCTATGCATTTTTTAGGCATGGTAATCTCTCATCGTAGTTGCGGGGATTCAGACCCGGGACCTAACCCCTCGCTACCGGTTGAGCTACGTCCACCGCTATGTATTTGGTATTAATATTGGAAGATCATGAATAGTTGAGATTATTAATGATACAATCCTTGTTAAAAGATATGATGTTGATGTATAATGCTTTTGTAACACTTTTGCAAAACTCTATGTTTAAAAAACCGACCCGACTCGGCCGGGTTGACCCCGAACCCAGTGACCCGGATAAAAAATCGGTTCGGTTTTTTCAAAACCCGGAAATGGTCAAAAACCGGAAAAACTCGGCTGACCCGGGAAAACACGGTCAAGACCTGGACCTAAGAAACCCGAAAAACCCGGTAAAACCCAGTGTTTGGGTGTTTTTACCAAAAACAGTAATTTTTTTTATTTTTAATGCATTTTTTATACCAATAAAATTGCAATTTCAATACCTTGAAAAGAAAAACTACGTAATATATTTATATATTTATTTAAGCATGAACATCATGCCAAATTATAATATAGATGTACAATAAAAGTAAAAATATCATTATATATTTTTATAAGATCAAAATATACATTGAAATATTATGAGAGTGTATTAAATTTTTAATAAGTAGTATTTTTAGTTGATTATTATGAATAATAACTAATTTTTATTATAATTTTATATATAATTATATGTTTACTATTATTATATAGACGTACAATCATTGACCGGTTTTCCGGCGTTGACCCGATTGACCTACCGGGTCCGGGTTGACCCGTGACCCAGTCATGTGGCCGGGTCACTCTCCGGTCCGGTTTTTACAACATAGGCAAAACTGTGTACTAATATGTACTTCCTAACATAATTCATTTAATATTGTTTAATACTATACTCGTATTTATTTGTAGCCCCGTTTTGGTTCTACTTAAAAACACATTCATGACAAATATACTTTGACCAGTATAATAAACTTTTTGAACTTAAAAGAGTATGAATGAATGAATTCAATAATAGCTCTAACCTATGATCTCCTTGTGTCTTTTATAATTTTGTCAAATATGATCGGTATGTAAAGAATAAAGAACTTGTATAAACTACTCCGTGTGTGGTTAATTTTGAAAAGAGATGAGAGAGATTATAAAAACCATGAATGAATTAATTACTTGCAAGTAAAGTGACAATCTTTTCAAAAATAGAAATTGTGAAGTTTTTAAGCAAGAGGTAGTATAAAACTGTGTTTCTCTTTAATATTCCAATGTGATGCTGTAGGTGTTCCATGTTGACTAAAAATAGAACTCACATCATTTCCATATTTGTCAACTCCTTAAGTTTTGGAACTTCACCTTCAAGATTGTTGAAACTCAAATCCCTGCGCAAAAGGATACATTCACTATGTTAAGCTGCGCATTAACTAAATATAAAGATACCATTTCAGAAGTTGGATTATCTCTTCTATTAGCTCAAATTTTTAAGATGGACCATCATCCATTAATATAGTATCAGAGCAAATTGAAGTCAAACAAGTGATCGATTCAATTATGATCATTGATAGTTTGAGTACTTATATTAGATCAATCGCTAACAACCGATTTCACATGAGTGAACATGGTAATATGGTATGCCCAATTCCCAATATATAGAACAATCCTTGTAATTATCATAATGAAAAAAACTAAATTAAAGAGCAAAGATGTGGCCGGATAGATGTTAGAAATGATAGAAGATTTAGTACATAAGTCGCAATGACATCATACTGCCCACATAATCAGGTATCGTCCCGTACAAATTACAACTCCTGAACGTCCTGTATATATAGAGAGACCATTTACTTTGACATTATGAAAGTTGTGAAACATTGTTATATATATATGATATGTGAAGTATAAATATATATATATATATCATAAGGAGTAATGAAGTAAGGAGTGCTACTAACAACTTAGCTAAGTTGTTCATGTTTCTTATCATAGGGAACTCAGAGGCACCTCCAATCAAATCTGTGATTCTTCTGCATAATTATATTTCGAAAAGATAAATGGAATTACTATTATATTCAACAAGAGAGATGCAATAAGGTTTGGAAGTCATCTCGAATAGCATATATATGGTGATGATATGGGTGTTGATTCATTTTTGTGTCTTGAAAAGCACTTACGTACTCACATATCAACTAGTTTGATCAATGATGAAATGTTGATCGGTCCTTCAAAACCAGCTGCTTCAATCTCTCTGCCAATCAGGCACCAATTTATTAAACAAATAAAAAAGGCACTCACATATCATAGTCTTGGTACACTTGTGTACATAAATGTGGGCAGAAAGGCTTACAATTTTTCAAGGTTTTTCAACGCCTCCAAGCTAGGCAATTTCCCAGTGAAGTTATTTCGGCTCAGTCTACTACATTATTACACTAGTGTCAAATGAAGTAAAAAGTAAAGAAAAAGGACTGGAATAACTCCGGTTCCGTAACTGAAAATTAGGATATAATGAACTCACAATTCTGTCAACTTGGACAAATTATTCAATTCTATAGGAAGCTGGCCTATAAGACTGTTTGCAGAAATAGTGCTGGAGGGATAGAGAGCAGGGGAGCATAGGTCAAAACAAAGAAACTATCAGCAACATCAATTTTGAACTTTTGTGACACTTGAATATATATATATATATATATATATATATATATATATATATACACACACACACACACACAAATATTCCGGTCAGGAATTTCCTGACCGGAGCCCCGTCCGGCCTCCTCCATTTGGGGGCCTTCCCGGTGTTATTTTTTGCTCAAATTTTGTGTGTATGTTCCTCATAAGATTTGGGGGCCTTCCCGGTGTTATTTTTTGCTCAAATTTTGTGTGTATGTTCCTCATAAGTCTAGTTCATCCATACCAAATTTCAGCAAAATATTCAATCGGGAAGGTCGTCAAATGATTTTTGCAATTAACTAATCCGGAATATGTATTTTCCGGACCAGTTAACTTGCAAAAAACATTTGACGACCTTCCCGATCGAATTTTGAGCTGAAATTTGGTATGGACAAACTAGACTTGATGAGGAACATGCTCAAAAAATTTCATCAAAAAATTCCACCGGGAAGGTGCCCAAACGGGCTCGGCCGGACGGGGCAGCCCGTCAGGCCGGCCTGATGAGAAGAGCTCTCTCTCTCTCTCTCTATATATATATAGAAGAACCTTTTGGATGAGAAATGAGAATGAATCTCAGCCATTGGATTCGACTAAGTTGCAGTAAAAGACACTTCATGATGCACTGAAATATGCAATCTAGCACGGTGGCATTTCTGTAAATACTTCTGAAAAATCCGTATTACATGTGTCTAGTGCAACATGAAGCTATTTCGGTGCAACGCCGTCAAATATTAGTGCAACATGAAACAGTTTTAGTGCAACATGTGCAAAATTTAAATATTACTGCAACATAAAACCAATTTTAGTGCAACTTCGTAAATCCAATGGCTGAGATTCATGCTCATTTCTCACATTAGATGTATTTCTCACCTGAACCAAAATCTATATATATATATATATATATATATATATATATATATATATATATATATATATATATATATATGGGTTAGTTCCTGTGAGAACACCCTCTTAGGAGAGGGAAAAAGATTAAAATCCAACCATTGACTAACCTTTAATAACTATAATCCGATGCTTAGATGGATTCTGAAATGGAGTAATTTTCGGAGGGGATTGGGGTTTTAAAAATTTAACGTGCAACTACATACTTATATTAAGGGCATCTTGGTAAAAATTTTCATGATGGATATCACGCATGGTGCATCATAATAGGAAATCCTCCTAAAAAAGTGGATAGCAATTCATACGTAATAACTTCTTCCATAATTAGCATCATTTATTGTAAAAAAATACTCTCTCTTACTTTATTTTATTTCCAAATTTAGGATATTCTAGCATATAATTCAGATAATTATTTTGAACAAAGCTTTCTTTTGTAACCCGTGCATTAATTTTCTTATTAATCATTTTTTTCTTTTCAAATGTAATATTCATCAATGAGTCAAAATGATTTATTTATTGCACTTTTATTCGAAACTGTATATAACATCAATTCAGTTAAATGTTTACACATATTAGGTGTAGAATTGCACTTATTGTAATCTAAATGTGCATTTTAAGTATATACAAAAGTGCATTATATTATTACACTTTTGAAGTTTATACGTTGGCACTTTTTTACAAAACAAAATGCATTTTTTACAAAATAAAATGCACTTTTATAATGTGCATTGTAACTACATAAACAAGTGCACTGTTATATTACACACTTTCTAAAACTTTAATTTACAATGATTCTTTTTACAAAATCAAATATAATGCACTTTTCTTCCAAAAGCCCCATGGTAATTCCATTATAATGATGTCTCCTGATGTGACATGTGTCTAAAAAAATTGTGAAAAGTGCATGAACAAAGTATGATAAGTGCATAAAAAAGAAATGCACTTTTAACATGTGCATATAAAATAAACCAAAGTGCAGTATCATACAACACATAACTGCCCTTTTGTTGAAGATCAAACTTCCCCAAATGACCAAATTGAAAATATGCTATATGTTGTCATCATGCAAATTTATAAGCATCTTAAAGATGTAAAAACCGTAATGGACAAATTAAAAGTGCACAAATATTTACTAAATTAAAAAATAATATTTATTCGGATAATGCAATGTGAAAATTGAAAATAAATAAGATAGAATATGATGATTAAAGAGTACACAGAATTATAAAATTTGTTAAAAAATGCTAGCACTTAAATTGAAAAGAAACTCATCTAAAAGTCACACGTAGACAATTGAAGGCTATAAAATATAAACTATGACAAAGCAATAATAAATACACAAATACTCAAAAGGAAGTTAGTGGAACGTATAGTAAACAAGTAAAGTAGTGCCTAACATTTCGGAACTTATCTTTAAGCGTAATCAATACATATACAAAATGACTAAAAACCCTCTCGATAGATTAGAAGCACGGAGGAATTATTAGATGATCCAATGATCTACATCAATTCTTTTTTACTCTCCTAAGATTAAGTTCTCACATGATCCTAAATCTATATATATATATATATATATATATATATATATATATATATATATATATATATATATATATATATATATATATATATATATATATATATATATATCTTTAGGATCTATTTGGATGGAGGGTTTTGAATGGATTTGAAAATGAAGGCTTTAGAATGTCTCTACCTTGATAAATCAAGTGTATTAAGTCATCCAACACCGTTCAAGTATAAAGAAACAAACCAGTATATAGGGCTTTGACTCTTCTACCATTAAGCCCCAAGTCTAGAAAGCTCCAACTCGCAATTACCCAACTAAGACATAAAATCATTAAAATGAGCACACGGACTCTAAAAGTGATTATCTCCAACAAGCCACCAATATAAATAGAATATTTCTAAAAATGAATATGAGATGGTGGGAATTCTCAAGGATTACATGTTAGGTTAATCTGAATTTTTATTAGTCTAAAAGTATATCAAAATATAGATATACTCTACTACACCCCCCGACGCCGACGGTTTAATTTGTTTTTATTAGAGCATACTTATCACGATGGATTTTCGGTCATAACTTTTTGATTGTATACTTCTAGCTTCGGTTTCGGTCAAAATAGACGTTGAAGAAAATAATTCTTCAAACAATCATTTATAAACATCAGTTATATTATGAAACATGCGACGTAATATCCCCTCTTTGTACTATTGAAACCATCCAAATCCCTTCATCCAAGCAGATTGCTAGTGACTAGAAAGTACATACAGTCTTTCCAAATTGAAAAGTTTCCCGAGCTCTCGAGGAACATTTCCACTAAACATGTTGTTCTCCAAGCCTCTGAAAGTAACCATCAAAAATAACCATCAAAGTTTCAAAATCATAGACATGAGGTTCTTGGAAGATCAATGATCTAATATACGCGTTAATGAGGAATAAATAAGTGTAAGGCGAGATACATTCGTTGGAGTGTGCTCATATTTCCTAAATACTTTGGAATCGGTCCAGACAATCGATTGACAGAAACACCCCTGCATAGTAAAGTTGTAAAGAATAAGATTGGGTCTAACTCAAACCAAAGCAGCAGATCACACTCTTTAATTTAACAGACACCACTAGAAAATTCAAATAATGACAAATGCATGACTAAAACAAAAATGAATTTTATACTCAATTACTTATTTTCTCATCTACTATGAGTCATCTGGAAACAGTCTCTCTGTGCTTTAGTACATGGGTAAGAAAACTGCGTACATCCGACCCTCCCTTACCCCACCGAAGGTGTGGGAGCCTTTGCGGCCTTGGGGTAATGATGATGACGTATTTTCTCATATACCAACTTACCATAGTGGTATGCAGTCACAGCTTTTACTCCGTATTTCATAGGTAAATAATGGAGGTGAAATGTGAAACTCACATGTGTTGCAGTCCTAGAGACACCCATTCCTGGGGGATTGTTCCATTTAAATAGTTCCGAGTAAGGTCACTGCACCAGTGAAAATGAAATTTTATTGATGGAGAAACTCAACCCTTAACCTGACTTTAGCAAAGATTGATGAACAGAACCCCAACTACATAAGGAAAACTTCAGTACATGAGCTTGAGAAACTGCAACTTGTACAAGGAAGGGGGGAGGACACCCGCTAAATCCTGTCCCTTCAGAGTTCTGCTTGCATAAAAAAGAGAATGAAATCATGAAAAATGAATGAATAAAATAAATATGATACAAAGTTGCAAAACTTTATAGTACACTTTCAATGCACTTTTACATAATCATATTTTGACATTGGCCATGACATAGTGCAATGATCTTTTAGTCATATTTTCATTCATACCTTTTCTTTATGGCCCTTTTCCATTAATATTACTATCTTCGTCCCGCTATGATTGTCTCATTTTATCTTATCGGTCCGTCCCACTAAAATTGTCACATACCAAATTTGGTAAAGTTTGTGTGGCTCTAATCATTCTTACTTTATTCTTACTTTATCAATTCAATATCAACCACATAAACCACTTTTTATTAATTTGCGTGTCACTCCCTCTTGTCTCATTGTTAGCGGGACGGAGGGAGTACTAAATTTAATGTAAAAGACAAAAATACGACTTATTTTAGATTGTCCAAAAATGACATATTCAATGTCTAGTTCCAGGTGACTCATCATCTTTCAATGACTTGTCACACTACAATTACTCTTGTTGAGTTACTCATACATAGTGATTCATATTTTTGTCCAAAAACGTAACTATTCATATTTTTGTAGGGAGAAACTCTGTTAGTAATTTTTCCTTTATTTAATGTCCCTTCTTTCCACATAACTTTATCAATTTTCCTTATTTAGTCATCCCACAAAATTACGGATTATGTCATTTCAAAAAGTAATAAGGATGTGGTTAGATTTCTCTACATAAATTTCAACCAGAAAAATAAGAATTCTAATCATAATAAGTGGCAAAAGTAATGCTAAGAATGGGAGAATGAACAAACATGTTTTCCACGTGGCAGAAGCCATCATTATATGAACAATTGCAGATGACAGAATTTTGATAGATAGAATTAGAGTCCAGGGAAGTGTTCCAGCTTGGGTCGGAGTCACATGGATTCAGGCTAAAGTTCCATCCTTTTTTCCCCAACTGATCAGCTATTTCAACAAGAGCACTCACTGAAATTTCCAATTTCAACTTAATTACTCAGCACGAACAAACACAATTTAAGACTGTTTGGATTGAAGAGTTTGGAAGGTATGGTTTGGAAGTCTTCAAAACGAATATTGATAGTTAAAATTTGGAGTTATTTTACCCGTTAAATCTTTAATCCTTCAATATTTATAAAACCTCAAACATAATTTGGAGTTATGGGCACATTAAATTTGCACAAAGAAAGCAGAAAACTTCCTAAACAATAAATGTTCAACAAAAAATTTTAACTCCCAGGTTTTTTAAAAAATAAAGCGCCAATAAGTAATAAGAAGAAAAGCTTTACATTCAGTCGGGTGGATTGGAAGAGATGGAGTTTGAGCTCCAGTGGGTGTATCCATGAAGCAGAGAAGCAGCAAAAAAGGTAAGGTAATCCAACTGAGAAAAGATTTCATCATCTTGAAGAGCTCTGTGTATGTATGTGTACTCACGGGTAGGAACAATGGACAAGAAATTCACTCATGAAGACTGAAGAGTGAAGAGCATACATCCATACATCATCTTGAAGAGCTCTGTGTATGTATGTATACCTTTCTAAAATATGGGATATAGTACCTACCATTCATTTGATTGTACCACAACACTTAATCATTTTTAATTTAGATTTAAATAATTCAACTGTTACATTCTCATTGGTCCATGTGGACAAAGGTATGGTACCTTATGGGTACCATAGAATCTACCATATTCATATACGTATACTGGTACCTATATATCTCACTCACAAAGGGGTGACACAATTATCAAGCAATTTGAGTTTTATCAAATAAGAATAAAGTGAGGAAGCGGTCCAGCTCAATTGGTCGCTGACTCACTCTCTCATACGGGAATTTTATCGACTTTTATCGAATTTGATACGGAGTATGAGAGAATTTTAATGGGACGGATCAAATGAAAGATGAGACAATCTTAACGGGACAAAAGGAGCTGAGCATATCAAAATAATCACCCATTTGTCTTTCCATGTAGTTTAAAATAAAATTAAAAATTGGTACTATGACTATATTGAAGCAATATTGTAGTTTTATTGTAACTGCTTTTAAGGGAGATTTCTTCCAAAACAATTAATTTGATGTACAAAAAAATATTTGTATCCACTCTTATACCCACTTGTATATCCATCATATCTGAGAAAGACATTTTGTCTATGAAGCTCATTGACTGACAAAATGTCTTATTTTGTCTGTGCCAATTTTGCACAAACAAAATAATTAATGCATATTTTGTCTGTAAATGAGATTCACAGACAAAAAAAACCTTTCACTAAGGGTGGGTACAACAAGAATGGTTGTTTGATATAAACCCAAAAGTCGAACTGAAAGAGTTATTTTAATAAAAATGTTGACATAATGACATTATGTAAGAAAAACAAATTTTATAGTAAACAGATTTAATGAAGGTGCACATATATACATAACACCGATTTGATAAAGATGGAATTCGTCTGAATAAGAGAAAAAATGGTTTAGAATTTCATGAGCGTTATATTTTATTCACTAAATATGAGTTGCTAGTGTCATGCTTAGGAAATATTACCAACTATAACAAAATACTGTCATATTTAAACTTTAATAATGTCAAAATATAATGGTAAATTTCATGATGTGAGTAACATACTCTTAGTATTAAGAAAATGTGGCGTGCTTCTAATATTGTTCTCTCTATCCTCCAAAGATTGTCTTATTTTACCTTTTCAAAAAAATTCACTAAGATTGTCTCATACCAAATTTGGTAAAGTTTTTGTAGTTCTAAATCGTTCTTACATTGTTCTTGCTCTATCAATTCAATATCAATCACATAGATGATAGATCATTTTTTTCTAATAACTGTGTCAGCTACTCACCTCCTTGTGTTTCAATGTATGACGGAGGGGTATTAAATGGGAATTGGAGTATTAAAAAGTTACTGATTGGATTGAAGAGTTTGGAAGGTATGGTTTGGAAGTCTTAAACACAAATATTTGGTAGTTAAAATTTGGAGTTATTTTACCCATTAAATCTTTAATCCTCCGATATTTATAAAACCTCAAACATATACACTTCCAAAAATCAATTCCCATTAAAGGGTGTATTAAAAAGTTCAAAGCTGCAAAAATACGTTGTTTTGTTCTATACATATTTGCCTCAATCAAAACTGTTGCATGGCTCAAGGTGAATAAAATTTTCGTTTCTCTTTGTCTTTTGCACAAGCATATGACTTTTTTATTTTGATTTGTTACTCTACCATTTAGTTTTGTTCCAATTGAATTATGTTTGTTAGCTTAGCGTCCAAATCGTACACAATGCCATCGAATCGGTGTTTGTATATCCACTAGTCATAAATATCTCGATCAAGCAGACAAGCACTGAACGATCACCCACTAGTCATAAATATCTCGATCAAACAGACAAGCACTGAACGATCATTCTTTTATAACTTTTGAATTTCTAATTTGGAAAAGTCACTATGTACGCTCCCGGTTACACAACCGGTTACACAGCGTAAAAAGCCCCACCCCCGCTTTGGTAACCGTATTAACCCCCACCTCTCTCCCCCTTTTTTTTCTTCGTTCGTCTCTCTCTCCCCTGCGCAAAAGAATTGTCTGTGTCATTCGTTTCTTTCGTTTGTTATCCTTTCTGTCAGGGACAGTCCGGCGGCGAGGAGAAGCACTGATCGAGATTCTGAGGCGGAGATGGAACCGAGTAAGACGTATGGCGGTGACGAGGCGGAGATGGAACCGAGTAAGACGTATGGCGGCGACGAGGCGGAGATCGAACCGAGTAAGCCGTATGGCGGAGACGAGGCGGAGATGGAACCGAGTAAGACGTATGGCGGCGACGACGAACTTGGCCTGGGCTGGAGATGGGAGGATATATTCGGTCCAAGTCCCGGCAACACGCCAACGGCCATGGAAGGCTTTGAAAATGCGACGGAACCCATCATGAAAGGCCATGAAGACATGACGGCGGGTGCAACGGAAGGAGTTCAACACACTCCGGTAGGCGATGAAGGGACGGCGGATGTGAAAGCTCATCAAGGTTGGTGTTTTTTTTTTTCGTCTTTTCTTCATGGATGTTATGTGGTTTGGTATTGAAGCTTCAAAAACAACGTTTTTTTATCTGCAGACAAATTAGTATTGTCTGTTTATACTATATATAGAAGTAAATTGTCTGGTGGAGACATTTGTTGTGTATTCGTACAGACATTTATTGATCAATATGTATGTTTGTGAGTGGTCACACCCTATGGGAAGACATTATGAAGATAATAGACTGGGTTTTAAATGTCATTATAATACTATTTTTGTTTGTCTGTATTTCTATTAATAATGTCTGTCATTATTAATAATTTTAAACTTATAATGTGTGTATTTATACGTTTTAGTGGTTTGATCATTGTTTGTAGTTTATAAACCAGTTCTACCCTAGTGTGTTAAACTTATAATGTCTGTATACAAATAAGTTGTCTCACTGTCCATAATGTGTCCCTCTACATAATATTGTCTGTACTTAAATAATATTGTCTGTATATACATATTTATAAATAACAGATGAAGAAGGCCATAATAACGAGGAAGAAGATGCTAATGAGGTTGTTCCGGAAGTGGGCATGAAGTTTGAAAGCACTGAGGCGGTTTATGAGTTTTAGAAAACATATGGTAGAAGGATAGGATTTCCAGTTAGAAAAAGAACATCAACGAAGGATAGAACCAAAAGCGACATAGTGTCGATACAATTAGAGTGTTCACGTGCGGGTAGTAGACCTAGCAAGGCACTAAACTGTTTGAAGCCTCAATCTTCAATGCAAACATCTTGTAAGGCAAGAATGAGAGCACACACTACTTATGATGGTTCATGGGAAATTTCAAAAGTGTTTTTAGAACATAATCATCCCATGAGTCCCACAAAATCTAGACTATTTCGTTGCTATAGGAAATTGACATCAAATGCGACGAGACAACTTGCTATTAATGATGTTGCGGGAATTCCACTAAACAAGAGCTTTAACTCCGTTGTTGTTGAAGCGGGGGGGTACGATGGCCTACCTTTTATTGAAAAGGATTGTAGGGACTACATAGAAAAAATTAGGGAACTTAGGCTAGGAACTGGTGATGCCATGGCCATACAAGGTTTTTTTTCAAAAATGCAAGCACAATGTCCCGGTTTCTTCAAAAAATTAGGGAACGGAGGGAGTACTTTTCAAATATGCATTGTTATTCCATTTTACAAATGAGCATAACATGAATACCCGTTGAGCATAATAACTTATAAAATGAGAATTGATATGCAAATCATAAGTACTTTTAATTGAACATCAAGACATTTTCATTGAGCATCAACTTGAAATTATAAGCACCAGTGATTTTCATTATGTGATTGTGATGAGCATCGAGTCTGTTCTTTTGAGTATTAGTGGTCTAACAATGAGCACCAGTAATTTCTGCTTCATATCTTCTAATTCAATTTCTTTTTATTATTTTTTCGTTTATTATTTCAACATCTGAATCCAATGTAGTATGATGCATTTGAAATGTGAAAATTTTTTAAATGACCATAAAACAATAACAAATGAGCATATGTAACTTACAAAATGAGTATCCAAAAATTCAAAAGCTCAGTTGTGTATGCTCATTCATTTTGACGTTATACTCATTTCATAAAACTCATTTTCAATGTGTTCAATATTAATTTGTTGAGTTCATTTCTTTTAGGCGTATACTCATATGAGTTTAATATGAAACTCATTTTTTGATGTGTTCAATATTATTTTGTGTGAGTTCATTTCTTTTTGGCATATACTCATTTGAGTTTAAAATTAAACTCATCTTTATAATATTACTAAGAACATAATAGATTTTTAATAAAATAGGGTTGTGAAAATCGGAATCTCAGCCTCTCAGGTAAAGTCGCCTCTTCATCGGCCAAGCATCTTAGTTGTCTCTGCTTCTATCTATCGGTATCTACGAGTCTGAAGTTGGGACACTTGGAAGCTTGGCTATCGGTGTTCTGTGTTCGCGAGTTGCAGCCGACTAGCTTTCAATCCGCCGTTCTTCGTCGTCTTCATCGCTGAGTTGTCAGGCTGAATCGCATATTCAATTACAAAAAAAATCCGGATGTATGGTGAACATCGTACAGCCGGCGGTACGGTGTAATTTACCATATAATGGAGTGGGGAAAATATTAAATTTATGAAAAATTGAAAATAATAATCCCAACTATTGCCAGTCTGCTGAAAGTAATCCCAACTATTGATTATTTTTGTATAATCCCAACTATATAGACTATCCGCCAATAATGGTCCATGACCATATATTGCCTCTATAAAAAGTGAATTTTAAATAGAAATTAAACGTAAAAATTAAAAGTTGAGATTATTTATAGAGATTACTTGTTATATCTCATCTCATCCACTCTAGAAACTACAAGAATCTATTTATAGGGACCATTATTGACGGCAGGTCCCTAAAGTTGGGATTATTCTGTAATAATCAATAGTTGGGATTATTATGAGCGGACCGCCAATAGTTGGGATTATTCCTTGAATTTATTGAATTACGGTATATTCTGTATACTATATCGAAAAATATTGAATTTATCGAAAATTTTGATATACTGACATTTTTGAGTTCTTTTTACAAGAATATTACTAAAATAAAACTTATTTACATAAATATAACTATTCAGTACTACAACGTAGTGTTATGGTAACTTAAGTTCAAAACTTAAACATGAATTACTATGATTTCATTACCACTGTAGTAACTAGTCATATTTTTGTAAACCATCTTTATTTTGGTCATATTTATGTAATTATTTCTATTTTTGGTACGTCATTGTACTGTACCTAATTACTTCGATAAGTATCGATATATATTTTGAAAATAATTGATATACCGATATATCGCCATACCAAAGTCCAAGCTAATAATCTCTTTAAAATTATAAAAATCACTAGAAACACATACTTAAGTGTAAGTGACATTTTATCCATGTTGTTTGAATTAATTGTACCTTTTTATTTGAGAGTGCTTTTATATTATTTGTATCTTTGTTGATTAAGTCAAGGACTGGTGATAGAAATGAAAATATTCATCTCATGAATTTCCTGAGAGTTTCTAATGATATAATATAACCCTTTTCTATTCAAAAAGAAGTTACAATAGGAGAATTTGTTTTTCATATTGCATATGTTGAAATGTTGAAACATATTTATAATAATTCTTATTCAAAATTGAATGGGAAATAATTTATTATTAGTATTTTGTATTAAAGTTCAATTATAACATGATATTTTAATGATGCCGTAAGCCCGTAATATAAAATTTTAGGTAATATCAAAATGGGGTTTTCTCCTTATTATTACTAAAATAAGGCTAATTTTTCAAAAAGTGACCACTTTTATATTTAGACAAAAATGTGACTAATGCACAGTGACATATCCATAGTGATATTGTGCCGGCCACAGTGACATATTTGCAGTGACATCTCCGCCGTTTCCGGCCATAGTGACATCGTTCTCATTCACAGTGACACCACCTCCAGCCACAGTGACACACCCATAGTGACACCGCCGGCGGCCATAGTGACACCACCGACAGTCATAGTGACACCGCCGCCGGCCGGCACCGCCCAAAGACCACCACCGCATTGGTTCTACCAGTTATCACCACCTACCCCTCCCAAACCCCCACCAACCCCAACCCGAGTCAGCCCCCGCCCCAACCCAAGCTCAGACCGTCCCCTCCCCTGCTCAACAGAGTTGTGACAACCGGCCACCTCCCCAGCCCCCGGCCGCTAGTGACTGGACCTTCCACCATGTCCCCGCTAACCCTAGCCACCACCCCCATTCCAAATCCAGATCTGAAAATCACCCCTACGACCCTCACAACGGAAAGAAATTGAAGAAGGAGAAGCATGTTTGCGTGGGAATGAAGATGGAAACGGAAGGAGAAGATCGACGGCTAAGCGACGAACGGCAAAGGAGACGCGAACCAGAAGGCTGACGATGATGCCAAACGCGCTCGATGGCGACGGGCGACTGCCTCGAAAGCGATGGGCGGTGGGGACAGTCGCAGGGGAAGGAGAAGGAGATGGACGCTGCTCTGGCTCTGTGCGTGGATGTCTTGCTCCGCCCAGGCGTCCTTACGCAGCGAAGGAGAAGAAGATGCGGAAGTTTCAGCGAAGGATATGCGGAGCCGGAAGATCGATGGTCACTTTTTTGTGGAAAAATATTTCGGTCATGTTTTTTCCAATAAAACCTATGAGGTAATAGTTATGCCATTGTTTCTATCAAAATTTCAATAAGATTACAACAGTATGTTTTTTGTATATGAAAAAATTTGGGTACCGCAAAGGTATCAAATAATTAAAGGGATTTCAACCATTCCAAACCTTTTCAAATGGATTCTACAGTTTTGGAAAATGGATTTTTAAAGTTCAAGTTTAGGGAGAACTGTTAATAAATGAAATAATTACATAAATATGACCAAAATAAAGATGATTTACAAAAATATGACTAGTTACTAGAGTATTAATAAAATTATAATAATTCATATTCAAATTTTGAACCTGAATTACCACAAAACCCCTTTTTTCACTTTTGTCGTTTTATTCAAAAGTATTTCCGTCGGTTTCTTGTTTCCCACTTTCAACTTTACCATCAATAATACTAGTAATGGATGGACATCCATTAGTGTGTGATATTTGACGAAGAAAGGATGAAATTACAAAATCTCATTTGTAGACTAGTTGGACGTCTTTGTCATCAAGGAGGTGGGTTGGCATCTGGGTGATCTGGCAACCAATTTTTGCAATTGATGAACTTGTTTACGAAAATAATCCTTGATTTGTAATGCTAAAAGTCAATAATTGAAATATTACAGTTTCTAATTCATGCTTAGATTTGTAATGCTGATCACACAAGACGGGACACCCTACTTCAAATGGTACATTTGATTACTTTCACAAGAAAAAGATATTTTCGAGTGTTTGGTAATTAGTTGTTGATTATTGTTTGTTGTGTTTGTATTAGTCGATAGTCCGTGTTCGGTTAATAAGCCCGATAGCGGATCGGCCCATTACCCCTTAGCGAGGAGACCGTTAAGAACCAAGCGGGGCTTAATCCGGCAAGGTGCCTATCAGACGCACGTAGGGCTCGTTTGGTAGTTTACTTACACGTTAAATCTTTGCACGCGAAGTGATTGCATGCAAAGTATAGGAAAACAATCATTTTGCATGTAAAATAGATTATATTGTTTGGCTAGATGTGTAATTTATTTTTAAATTGCACGCAACTCCGTTGCAGTGCTTCATAAAAGGCCGGCATGCAAAGTATTTTACCTCACTCCCCCCACGTAAAATACTTTACATGGTACAGTGTAAAATGTTTTAAAAAGTGTCCTACAGTTTACATTAAATAATAATCAAACCAAACAGTGTAAACATTTTACGTCCTTACACTTCGCATGCAAAGTAATTGTTTTACATCCTACCAAACGCCCCCCGTAGAGTCCTTGAGAACGCTTGGCCAAAACAACACTGGCCCAACATGGGCCAGATGATGATCCATGGTCTTCGGCAGCTTGGCCCGCACGAGCCGAGCGGAGCCTCTCTTGTGCCCAGCCAGAGCTAGAATCCAAGATCCAGGGGACGCTCGTCCAGGGCATTTGGCGGGATATCAAGATATTGGCGGGAAACACATTTAATGCAATGGATTTGGTGGTTGGAAAGCTAGTCATCCACAATCCTCCACATAACCAACATTACCTACTCCCTCTGTTCTAAAAATCGTTCTAGGCGTCCGACTAGTCCCCGCCTAGGCGCTAGGCGATTGTCGGGCGCCCCGATTTTCGTCTAGGAGCTCCAACCAATTGATTTGCCGCCTAGGTGAATTAATTAGTCAGCCGCATATGGCACCTAGTTGCCCGCCTAGAGCGCCTTATCGGCCGCCTAGATTCACCGAACATTAGCCGTGTGTATAAAGAAATGAAGCTGTAAATTAAGATAAAACTATATATGTTTGTCTATATACCTAAATTTTATCATTATTTATGTTTATAACATAATGAAGTTAAATGATTAGTTATCATATACTGTGTGTGATTAAATGTTATAATTCTATCATTCATATTTGTTAATGTATATGTATTTATGTATTTTATACACACAAAAATATAATATTACTTATCAT